CCCCCCCCAAAAAAAAAAAAATATTGGGTGCATATTAATTGGGAAAGCTAATTCTCTGCCCAGGAGAACAGCTGCGTTATTACTATTCAGGTAGCTGAGGGAAAAACTAAATGGCTCATTGCTCTTCACTTTACAGGTGTTAACAATCATCTCTTCTTTATATTGGTGTTGATGTTCCATTAATCAAGCTAACCTTTGCTGTCTGCTAGGTGCTGGCTGGTCTCTCTACTCTTATTTCATAGCCTTTTCAGTATACAAGCACACATGGAGATCAGTCTTCAGCAGCAGCTAAAGATTTGGCTGTAGTTAAGCCTGTACTATATTCCAGGGTGTGGTGTTTGTGTGAAACGTGTCTGTTTTCTCAGAAGAACGTAAGAACACAGGAAGTGCTGTATTAGGTTGGACCAGTAGTCCATCTAGTCAAGAATGCTTTCTTCTTAAAGGAGAGTGCTTTCTTCAGAAGAATAGCTCGAGGTCTAAGTACCACTATCATTTCCATCTTCCAACAAGGGCCTCAGTGGTTCCATGACTTTGAGCTGGTTCCCTGCATAGTTGTAAATTTCCATGTCGGACCTGGGGTGAATGTCATCCTTTTGCAGCAGGCCTCCTGCTGTTGGCAGTGATTACTAAACTGGCATTTACATGAGCACTTGCTCAGTTTAGCCCAAGCAAATTAATATTTTTCTGTATGAATATTGATATTGCTGCCAGGTTTGTGGGCATGATAAAGAACACTAGTTAGATATATAGCCTCAGGAAGTAAAACAGTTGCCAGTCTCTTTCAGTTTTCTAGAAGTGATTACACAACACAATATCTAAAAAGCTGTTAGAATAGAAATGGGAATAAAAACAGCTGTGTCGAGACAGGAGCATGAGAAGCCAGATATCCCAGGGAAAAAAAAACTTTTTAGCCTTAAAAGGAAGCTGTTTTATAGGATTTGCCATTTTCTCTTTTCTTTTAATGTCAGGCAAGTACAGCTTGAAGTGTCCTCTTGGTTTTGGCTGGTGGTACAGGAATGGATGGTGCTACCTTATAGAAGGCAACAGAAGTTTGACCTGGATGGAATCCAGGCTGTTTTGTAGCCATTTTAAAGGAACAAGTCTGTTGCAGCTGGAATCCTCTGCTGAAAAGGTTTGATCAGAAATAGTTTTCCTCTTACTTGGGAAGCAGTCTGATGCTTTCTTGTAATGGAGACCATGGAAGGTACCATATTTCACAGTGCATAAGTCAAGGTTTGAAGCCCAATTCTTAACTCTTAAAATTCAACCTCGACTTAGACATGGTACCCTGTGAGTGGCACCAGGGTTGGCGTTCAGCTGGCATGGTCCAGGCAGTGCCGCTTGCAGGGGATGGGGCCATGCCAGCAAAGTGCTGAGCCTGGCACCCTCAGGTGACAAAGCTGGGATTGGAAATTGGCTGGTGCGGCCTTATCCCCTGCAAGTGATGCTGCCTGGGCAACACCAGTGCTGCTTACAGGATGAGGCCTCACCAGCTGAGTGCCAAGCCCCGTCCCATCTGCTGCAAGCAGTGCTGCTCAGCATGAGCCCAACCCCATCTCCTGCGGGTGACACTGGACTCGGTGCTTGGCAGCAGTGCTCGTAGAAGACAGGGTTGGTGTTCAGCTGGTGCAGCCCCATCCCCTGTGAGCCCAGCACCACTTACAGGGTTTGGGGCTGTGCCAGTTGAGCCTGACCCCTGTCACTGTCCCCTGCTAGCAGCATGGCCCCAGTTGAGCGCCAAGCCCAGTGCCGCTCACAGAGGACAGGGATGAGGCTGGGCTTGGCAGTCAGCTGGGGATGCGCTGCTCTCAGGGGACAGGGTCGTGCCAGCCGAGTGTCAAGCCTGGCCCTGTCTGTTGCGAGCAGTGTTACCGAGCCCAGCACCTCTTGCAGGGGATGGAGCTGGGCTCAGAGCTCAGCAGTGCCCCCAGTGGATGGGGCTGGGCATGGTGCTCACCTGGTGTGGCCCAGCAGCGCCACTTGCAAGGGATGGGGCCGTGCCAGTTGAGCGCCGAGCCCAGCCCTGACTTTTACACTGTGCCTATGAAAATCCTAATTTCTCACTGGAAAACGGAGGATCAACCTATACACCATGTTGAATTATACACCGTGAAATACAGTACATATCCTTCCTAATTTTTTGCATGCTAAGGGCCTTGTTCCAAGGGTACCCTATGGACCTTAATTTTAGGTGGCTCCTGGAGCTCTTAACCCCTGCATTGTCCACACATTAGCACGTGAAACTAACTTTAAGCACTCATTAGGTGTTTTAAAGTTATGCCATCCAGTTTACATTTATCTCTGATCATGTTACCCAGCTCATGTTACACTAATGTGTAGCCACTTCAGTCCCGATCAGGCCCACTGCCTCCTTGGCCCCCCCAGTTGGGTTCCCACGCTTGTTCCCCAGAAGCCCAGATCGGCCCACTGCTACCCTTCCCCTCTTGGAATGGGCCTGCTGTTCCCTGGCCCCCCAGCACCCCATATCCATGCTCACCACCACCTCTTCTCCCCCCACCCCGGTAACTTTTGTCTTTCCATGCAACCCCGGGGGAGCAGGTAGGGAAGGGAAAACCCCTGCTTGGCATCTGCTGCTGCCTTCATGACTGCTGCTGTCTGGTGTGGGCTCAGCCAGGAGAAGAGCAGCAGCTCAGTTGGGGTTGGGGCTGGGCAGGTGAGGTTCCCCTTCCCTGCCTGCTCCCCTGGGACAGTTGTTTTCTCCCCTGGTAAAGTAAGCTGCGGGGGAATGGGGGAGTCCTGGGGGCAGAGGAGTGCAGTAGGGAGCCCTGGGGGGCACTGGGGAAAGCCTGAATGGGAGCAGGGGGAAATCTTAATGTTTCAGTTCTCAAGGCCCCTGCTGGTCTGAACTTATGACTCCAAACTCAAGCCAGCACTAACACTGATCAACACTTGAGCATCAAAAGGTGTAGTGTGTAACCAGTCCTGGGGAAAGGGGTGGGAATAGCAGGGAATTGCAGGTAAACCCTCTGGTTTAGAGGGAAAAATATCTGTGTGATTCCCTCCTGCTCCCTCATCTTCTGATGGACATTTGTTTACATGTTTGTTGCTAGTGCTGTGTGGACCACTCAAAATGTCTGTGTTTTCTGTGTTAGTAAGAAGCAGAAATCGAGTTATGTGGAAAGGTAACAAATGAAAACCTGTGGTTTAAATGATATCAGGTCTTGGAATAACTCCTAAAAGTACCTGTTAAAAACTGAGTTTTCTGTATCAGTTTGTACTTTAGTGGATTGTGTTGTTTTGCAGGACTGGCTACACAAGATGATAAAATGGCCTGTGTGGATAGGAATGAACAGAGCGACATCAGATTCTGCATGGCAGTGGATAGATGGAGCAACAGCTGACACCTGGTAGAATTTCCTCTCTTGGTATTTGTAACTTGTAATAGGTGCAGAGTTTATAGGCTGGATACTGTTCCCTATAGTTGCTAAAGGTTTTGAATGCTTGACTTATTGTTCTCTTGATCAAGCTAAATTAAACTGTGTATATCAGGCCTTTGAAATATAAAACTCCCCCAAAATGTTAATTTAATGTCGTAGGGGCAAATCTGTTGAATTAATACACTTCTTTTTACTAGAAGCTGAAAGAAACATATATTCTATGTGTGCATAATCCAAATACAGTGTCAACAGGTACCATGGATTCAAATATTGCCTGATAATTATCTAGGCCATGGTATAGTATAATGGGTACCTAAACTGTAGTAGGACAGTGCTTTAAGGCAGTGATACTCAGGTTTTTTGGACAAATGGACCATTGTAACTCTATGAAATATTTTGTGGGCCACCAAGCACTGTTACCAACTTTTTATAGAAAAAGATAGAAATGGCAGTACAATGACTAGGTGAACCGCTGTGTGTACACACATCAGTTTTGGGTACCACCATATTAAGTCATTGTCCAGACTAGGATTGAAACTTGTGTGGTGTACCGTCTAACATCACACTTTTCAATTTTACTGTAAAAAAGTCCAGAATGACTTTCCCAAGGGATAGGGGCCTCCCCAGGAAAGTTAATCTTACCAACACTTTTGGCAATGATAACTTTTCTGTTTACAGAAAAGTTATCATTGCCAAAAGTGTTGGTAAGATTATATTGTACTTTTCTTTTGGAATAACACCTAAAAGTACCTGTTAAAAACTGAATTTTCTGTATCAGTTTGTAGTTTAGTGTATTGTGTTGCTTTACGGGACTGGCTGCAAAAGATGATAAAATGGCCTGTGTGGATAGGAATGAAAAGGGTGACATCAGACTCTGCATGGCAGTGGGTGGGATGATACTTTTCTTTTTCCTCTTTTACCTCATTTCCATATTCCCCAACCTTAGTCATCTTGTCCATATAGGTTATTTTCTGTTCCTCTTTTCTTGGCATAAGGTTTAATGAAATGTAATACATTTGTTGTTTTGTTCACTTGTACCATACAATATACACAGGATTTATAAATCTGCTGCATGAGAAGTGTAACTTTACTGTTGAAGTTCTTGTGTTTTTAGGCTGATCGATGTGTGTAGATGACGCACTATGTTCTTGTTGGGGTTTTTCCCTTGCATTTTGAAATGCGTTTTGGAATTTTGCTTGTTTCAGGATAAAGGTTCAAGGAAATGCAACTGCAAACTGTGTTGCTGTTTGGCATAATGAAGCGACTTTACAAGGAGCTGATTGCCTTTCAAAACACAATTTTGTGTGTAAAAGAAGAGAATGTAAGTAACTAGCTAGCTTTTCTTTTCACTCCTTTTATTTCCTCCTCTGTTTCTGTAAGTTCTTGTTAATTAGTTACAAATGATTCAATATTTTAATGTGCGTTTTTCCACTTGGAAATACAGGGGGTTTATTTTGCTTATAATTTTCTTCACGCTAATGTAGTTCTCTTGTCTTCTGTGCAGTTGCTATTGGTTTGTTTAGGTGTGACATCAAAATAAGGCCCAACGTATTCTTTACTATATAACCTTGCTTTTTCATACATAATAATTATTACGTAATATAAAGAGGAGGGCTTTGATATCTAAATGGCCTTGTTTGTGGGCCAGCACCAGATTTAATTTTCCAGTTTGCATAAATTTGGGTATGTAACTGTACATTATGTTTCCTGGTATAAATCTTGATTTCCTTTCCTTTAGTAGCTTGCTATGTTAAATGGTTTTAATTAGTTGAATACTAGGCTCTAAGTTAGAATAGGAAGAGGTCATGTGATGCTTAAAGCACTGGGCTGGGCCTCAGGAGGGTTTGGATTCAGTCTCTGGCTCTGCCCCAGATTTCTTGTGTTGTTGGTCAAGTCCCTTAACCTCTCAGTACCTTAGTTCTCCAACCACTGCAAGATAGACATAGTAGTTTTTCCCTATCTTTCCCCAGTGAGAGGATAAATCCATAAATACTGGAGGAACATATATAATTTATGATGACAGAGGCCATCATTTTGGGAATCTTTTTTCCTCTCTTTCTTTTCCATGTAGCTGAAAATATGTTTCAGTTTTATGCTGGCCACATCATAATGCACAGACAGAATGCAATTCCAAAACTGCACTCTTCCCTTAAATCTGCTGAAAATGCTTGTCTGTATGAGAGAACACACTGTACTGGAATAGTCTATTCGAAGAAGCAGTATCACTTGGTTGGTGGAACAGAAATATTTAGAAGTTCTTATAAAGCTGACTCATTATATCTTAAAACTGGTAAGTATTTAATGGGTTTGTGTGTATATTTATAGTTTGTATTTATATTTGTCATATAAAGTTTGTGGTTGATTATATCAATCAAAGTACAAATATGGGCTATGCCCTCTTTAATAGAATGTCTTTTGCATTCAGTTTTCCATTTCCATCGTTCATTAAAAATTCTTTCATGTCTCTGGATCAGCCATATAGTGACAGGCCAGCTGTGACTTCCCAGAGTCAAGTGTGAACTGGGACTCTTCTGCCTAGAACTGTTTCAGAAATTTTCTTCCTTCAGTCTGGAAGGACAGAGAATCACTTAGGACTATTAAGAGAAATTAAGAAAGAAGTGGGTGTTTAGAAATACATAGGATAGAGATGGAAAGATTATTCTCTCTGACTCACTGATGTGAACCTGAAGTAACTCACCTTACAACGGTTAGTCCTGGCTTCATTTAATAAATTCAGAACCATCTCCTCTGTGTGTGTGTAAACATGAATTATAACAATAAATACAGTCCCTTATACAGAGAAAAACTACATGGTTCAAACAGAGATTAGGGATTAATTTAGTGTGCAAACTAAAATTTTTCCTTGCACAATCTTATCCCCTACATATTTTTTTGAGGTGCCTGTGAGTGGGATAGACTGGCCTGGATGTATTTAAAGGCAGTCCTTTAGTGACGTTAGGTGATTTTTTTACATGTGAAAAATGGTCTCCAAAACACTAGTTGAGAGCTGTAATTGTATTTTAAAAACCGAACAACCAGAACCATGGGATGTACCGTGGTTGCATCCAGAGCTCCAGTATGAAACTGAAGATAGGCCAGTTGAAAGTCTCTGAGCTAAGGTTAGAGGGGAGAGCAACAAAGATGATGTTGTAGTGGGTGCCTGCTATAGCCCACCAGGCAAGGGGGAAGTGGTGGATATGGCTTTCTTCAAACAGCTAGCGGAAGTTTCCCAATCATGAGCCCTGGTTCTCATGGGGGACTTCAGTCATCCTGACATGTGCTGGGAGGGCAATACAGCAGGGCAAAGGCAATCCAAGAAGTTTTTGGAGAGTGCTGGGGACAACTTCCTGTTGCAAGTACTGGAACGGCCAAGTAGGGGCTGTGCTTTTCTTGACCTGCTGCTCACAAGCAGGGAAGAATTGGTGGGGAATGTAGTAGTGGATGGAAACGTGGGCAGCAGTGACCACAAGATGATTGAGTTCAGGATCCTGGGGAAAGGAATTATGGAGAGCAGCAGAGCAAGGACCCTGGATTTCAGAAAAGCAGACTTCAGCTCACTCAGGGAACTCATGGGCAGGATCCCCTGGGAATCCAGTCTGATGGGGAGAGGAGTCCAGGAGAGCTGGCTGTACTTTAAAGAAACTTTACTGAGAGTGCAGGAACAAACCATCCTGATGTGCAGGAAGACCAGCAAGCATGGCAGAAGACCAGCTTGGCTTATCAGGGAACTCTTCAGTAAACTAAAACACAAAAAGGAAGCTTATAAGAAGTGGAAATTTGGACAAAGAACTAGGTAGGAGTATAAGAGCATTGCTCAGGCATGCAGGGATAAAGTCAGGAAGGCCAAAGCACAATTGGAGTTGTAGCTAGCAGGGGCCGTGATGGGTAGCAAAAAGGGTTTCTACAAATATGTCAGTAGCAAGAGGAGGATCTGGGAAAGTGTGGGTCCCTTACTGAATGGGGGAGGCAACTTTGTGACAGAGGACGCAGAAAGGGCTGAAGTGCTTAATGCCTTTTTTGCCTCAGTCTTTGCAGGCAAGGTCAGCTCCCAGACTACTGCACTGGGCAGCACAGTTTAGGGAGGAGGTGAGCAGCCCTGAGCAGCCCGTAGTGGTGAAAGAACACGTTAGGGACTATTTAGGAAAGCTGGACATAAGTCCATGAGGCCAGATGGGATGCACCCATGGGTGCTGAGGAAGTTGACTGATGATATTGCAGAGCCACTGGCCATCATCTTTGAAAACTCATGGTGATCAGGAGAGGTCCTGGATGATTGGAAAAGGGCAAACATAGCGTCCATGTTTAAGAAAGGGAAAAAGGAGGATCCAGAGAGCTACAGACCAGTCAGCCTCACCTCAGTCCCTGGAAAAATCATGGAGTAGATCCTCAAGGGACCCATTTCTAAGCACTTGGAGGAGGAGAAGTTGATTAGGAACAGTCAGCATGGATTCACCAAGGGCAAATCATGCCTGACCAACCTGATTGCCTTCTGTGATGAGATGACTGGTTCTGCGGATGCAGGGAGACCAGTGAATATGGCATACCTTGATTTTAGCAAGGCTTTTGTTATGGTCTCCCACATCATTCTCACAGGCAAACTAAGGGGGTACAGGCTGGATGAATGGACTGTAAGGTTGAGAGAAAACTGGCTGGAGCATCAGGCTTAGGGGCTAATAATCAATGGCTCAATGTCTGGTTGGCAGCTGGTATCTAGCAGAGTGCCCCAGAGGCCTGTCCTGGGGCCAGTTTTGTTCAGTGTCTTCATCAATGATCTGGAAGATGGCACCCCCAGCAAGTTTGCAGGTGACACCAAGCTGCAGGGAGTAGTAGATATGCTGGAGGGTAGGGCTAGGATCCAGAGTGACCTAGACAAATTGGAGGATTGGGCCAAAAGAAATCTCATGAGGTTCAACAAGGAGAAGTGCAAAGTCCTGCACTTAGGACAGAACAGTCCTATGCACTGTGTGTACAGGCTGGGGTCTGACTGGCTAAGCAGGGGCTCTGCAAGGACCTGGGGGTTACAGTAGACAGTAAGCTGAATATGAGCCAGTAGTGTGCCCTTATTGCTAAGGAGCCTAATGGTATCCTGGGCTGCATTGGTAGGTGTGTTGTGAACAGGTCAAGGGAAGTGATCATTCCCCTCTATTCAGCACTGGTGAGGCCACATGTGCAGTATTGTGTTCAGTTTTGCCCCCCACCCCCGGAAAGAATGTGGATAAATTGGAGAGGGTTCAGCAGAAGGCAAAAAAACTGTGTGGTGACTGGGGCACATGACTTATGAGGAAGGACTGAGGGAACTGGGCTTATTTACTCTGGAGAAGAGAAGACTGACGGAAGATTTAATAGCAGCTTTCAACTACCTGAATGCAGGTTCAAAAGGGGATGGGGCTGGACCGTTCTCAGTGGTGGCAGATGACAGAACAAGAAGCAATGGTCTTAAGTTGCAGCAAGGGAAGTTTAGGTTAGATATTGGGAAGAATTTTCTCACTAGGAGGATAGTAAAGCACTGGAACAGGTTATCCAGAGAGGTTGTGGACTCTCCATCCTTGGAGGTTTTTAAGACGTGGCTAGACAAAACCTTGGCTGGAATGATCTAGTTGCGGATGGTCTTGCTTTGAGCAGGGGTTGACCTCTGGAGGTCCCTTCCAACTCTAATTTTCTGTGATTTGATTTAACATTTATCTTTTTTTGAGTAGAGAAAAGCATATTTTTAGTAACCAGTGCTCAAGTTGTTTGAAGCATTCTGCTCCCACTTACGTTGGTGTAAATCAGGAATGATTTTACCAAGTCCAGTGGTGTCTGTCAGTGTCAAAGCAGCCTGGGTCAGGGCACAGCCCGTCCTTGTTTTGTATTTATGAACTGAAATGGAAATAACCTTGCTTCCTATTAGGAAATAATACAGTTTTCTTCCAGATAGTTTTGAAACACTCAGCCCTTCCACTTAAAATAAGTGAAGGGGTGGGGAAGGGCTTTGCACTATGACCTGATTTAACTCTGAAACTCTCTCTTCAGGTTGCCAGCCAGGTTATTATGGCTCAGACTGTCAGTCCACATGCCATCCATGTGACAAGGGTCTTCCTTGTAATGGTGTCACAGGACACTGTGTGGGAACTTCCAGTGTTACTTGTAGCTTACAGTCTCAAGATCCACAGTGCTCCCCTGGAGAAGGTACACAAAAGCAATCATTTGGAGTCTTGTGCCCTTGTATTGGTTGATATATGATTTTTTTTTATTCTTCAAATGGTGAACTCTAACAAGATGTGGCTTGTAGTTTCCAGGCAGTTGTGCCCGCAGAGGCCTGAGTGGCACTATTTTCTGAAGACATGTTACTACATAGAAGACACCAAAACTAAGACATGGAGTGAAGCAAGAAGGGCATGTCAGGGTTTTAAAGACACAGACCTTGCTATAATTACAAACAGTGTAGAAAAGGTAGCTTGCCTGGTTTCTCATATGACACATTTTGAATTGATGATTTGCTGTTTTATCTTGTTTTAAAAGTCAGCATTGATAGTATTAGTAGAGTTTTGCAGAATTTTTTACAGTCCGGAACTCAACTGTTCCCTTATTTTAGATGCAGCCCAAATTGCTGGGCCAGTGACTGGGGAGAAAAATGTAATTTAAAATAATTGTAGATGCCAAGCTGCATGGAAATGCTCCTTTTAACAGCCTCTAGGTCTTTGTTTCATCTTTTGTTTTTAAATATAGAAAATAAGAGGCCAAAATGCATATCAGAAATGAGCCTTTGTTTTCAGACTGTACCTGAAAGCAGTTGTCCACTGAATGGTTGTTTCTGATTCAGTGGCTGGTTCTGCACTCGGTGCATCAGGAGGGCAAGGTGGCCCGCTGTCGTTCTAAGGGCTGCTCTTAATTATACTGACTACAGTGATCCCATAAACTACTGGTATAAGTAGACTTTAGAGGGAGTCAGGTCTAGTGCCTCTGCAGCTGTGATGGTTGGTGGGTGGGAGATCTTGAGGGGGTAACCCACACTAAATTTAAAAACCAGGGATTTTGGTAGTCAAGCAGCATAAGAACGACAAGTAATTAAATGTTTTGAGTAGTTCTATCCTGCTCACTAACAGGATAAACAATTCTACATATTGATGAATGCAGAGCAGAGTGGATAAAAGACTTATAATTGGGTTTGAATGGATTTATTTTGCATTTCAGACTTGGATACAATTTAAAGGAGAGAACAGCTGGATAGGTATGACCTATAAGAAAGAAGATTCCCTGTACGTGTGGGTTGATGGCAAACCTGCACATGCTGAAAGTGCATGGTGAGGCTAAGTTTCAATGAATACATTGTTCTAAATAAGATGGTGTTAAATGGGGAAAACCAGTAAACCCATCCCTGGCATAGCACAATGCAGACCCTCAGCATTAGATGGTTTGGTTTTGGCCGATAGCCACATTTTCCTTTGAACACCAGACCCATAAATTTAGTGCTACTGTAGCTGGCCTTATTCCATTTTGCAGTTCAACTTTTCTCTGTGGGTTGGCAGGGTCATCAAAACAAACAGGAGGCATACGCTTGCCAAAGAAGACTGTGTGGTTGCCCTCAAGCATTATTTTTCTCCCGCACATTGCTTCTTGCTAAGAAAATGGATATGCAAAAGGAAGGAAGGTAAAGTTATTTCCATTCTATGGAGCTCTAACTTAAGGCTCAATTGTGTTATGTGTGCAACGACTAAAATGTGATTTAACAAAAAAATCAATCAAATGTATTTTAAAAAAATAAACCTACTTGAAATTATAACAGCCTATGCTAAGGCCAACACTTACTATAATCTAAACTCGAAAATATTTTTCAAGCAGTTCATCTTTGCCCTGTAAGGCTTATGTTCAAATCATTGAACTGGGGAAAGCCTAAAGCTAGGTTTTGAAAGGAATAGCCTTTTCTGCAGATCCAGGGGGAATAATCAACTCCCACTTTTTGTTTAATTCAATAACTAAATTCATTTAGAGGTGAGAAGCTGAAAGCTTGGACCTTAGAAAGCAGAAAAGCTTGTTTTCTTCTTCCAGTCTTTGAATGAAATTAAGTGCGAGATAGATCTATACTTTCTTAAGTCTTTGAAGGACATGCTGAGCAGAACAATGAGTTCAGTTCACATACTACAGATAATACTTCCTTCAAATAGTTTTATGAAAACATTTTACATTTAATGGTTTTTTTGTGTTCAGCCCATTTAACAGTTTTAATTAATTCATAACAAATTAAAAATGCTCTTTTCTCCTGAAATTTTAATTGCGGTTTCCATCCAAAAGCAACTTGACAAAAAGATTAATTATCTGCCAAAGAAGTGCCTTTTGCAATTTTAAATATAACTTGTCAAAATTAATGTGAATAAATATCTGTTAAGCTGTATAATTGCTTGCATATGCATATAGAGCATATTTCGGGATAGTAACAGGTAGTGCCAAATTTAGGGTTAAGACTATGTTTAGTGGCAAATCTATATATTTCTATTAAACACAGCTTTGACTCTAAATCTGGTATTACTTATTGCCATTCATAAGTATGCAAGGTGTTATATGTCTTAATTGATGTTTTAATGGTTCCTAACCAGTGAGAATCAACATTTTTTCATGAAAAATATCTAAAAAAAAATTCAAAACAAGATTTAAGTGTATTAGTAGTAGTATTTGCTTCCTGATTTAAATTGTGATTAGAATGGGCAGTTTTCAATTTTTAGGATTGGCACATTGCTTGTGCCAATCACTGCCAGGCACATGCATCGTCACCACCACGGGGGCGTGCATTCGGCCTGAGGTTATTTAGAGTCACCAAAGTGGCTGGCCGAGCCCGGGTTGGTTTTGGTCTGATAAATGCACACGGAGGTGCTGAGCACTGCCAGGAGTGACCAGGAATAACAGTCACAAGCTGGCAGAGGGTAGATTTAGGCTAGATATTGGGAGGCGCTAATTCACGGTCAGGGCAGCTAGGATCTGGAACCAACTTTCAAGAGAAGTGGTGCTGGCTCCTACCCTGGGGGTCTTTAAGAGGAGGCTGGATGTACACCTTGCTGGGGTCATTTGACCCCAGTACTCTTTCCTGCCATGGCAGGGGGTCAGACTTGATGATCTGCTCAGGTTCCTTCCAACCCTAGAAACTATGAAACTATGCAGCTATGCTTTAAATCAATCTGTCCTTACCTCTGCTGCTCAGATTGTGCTTGGATTCTGAGATGGCTGTGACTTGGTGGAGTCATCTTGCTTACTCCTTTCTTTTCTGCATAATCTGGCAGAGATTTGTTTATATACATATATTTCTTTATAATGTGTAGAAAGGAAACATATAGGTTTTCATTAGCATATCAGTCCAATTTTATGATACTGTAACTTGGTTGATTTCAGAGGCATAATTGCAGTGTAAAATTAAACAAGTGAAATGATATATCAGTTTTATAACCTTAGTGCCAATGTTTCTGTCATTTTAAAACTTTATATGCCCGACTTCCTATTGAGCACTTGTAGCTCCTAGGGATGTGAATCAAGAGAGCACTTCTGAAAATCAGATGCTCAAGTATTAACTAGGTTGCAAATATATACCTCAATGCATTTGACACAGGCTGATCCCTAGTGGAAACCATTAACAATATGGCTTAGGTCAGATCTCACCTGGAAACTTCTGCTGGTATAATGCTGTTAGTTAGGGTTTTGATTTTTTTTCAAAACAAAATTACTATACCTACAGAAGCCACAGTGGAGATGCAGTTATAACATCATCGAAGGTATTGTTTAGGGAGATATTACAAATTATATAAGCAAAAGTGCCTTTATATCATTATAAGATGCATCTAAAAAGTGTCGCTACACAGGAAAACCCTCATAGTATAACTGTATCAGCAAACATTTTCTAATGGAGACCTGTCCTTCATTTAATGAAGTGACTCCACGTATAGGTAGGAAGCAAAAATAATCAATGAAACAGACTATAAGGTCAATGAACCATCAACATATTCTGCCCTTTATAGATTTCATATAGTTTATCTTCTTGTCAAAGCCATCCAAACAGATGTGGGGTAAAACAGATGGGTCCTCGTGTATCCACCTGTTCATGATCCTAAAGAAGGAGCTATGCCCTGTTACTACTGGTGCATTATCTATCTGAGACAATGTGATTTTAACAGTAGTGACACTCTTAGAGGGAGCCAGTAGAAATACAGGGGAGTAGTTCTGGAAACCGAGAGGCAAGTAAGGAATGGGGTTAGCCCGATGCAGTTCTTTGGTCACTGCAGCAGCTTTTGATCAGCAGCTTTTCTTTGGTTACTGCTGCAGCACTTGTTGCTGTCTTGGTGACATATATGTTTTTCACTTTCCTAGCGTACTTCTACCTCTATTTGCCCTCCTGCTGTACTGAGTGGCATGAACTCTGTGTCCTGTCTTTATGCAGCAGCAGGGCTCTTAGCTCATGAGAGGAGCTCCTAGGGGTTATTGCAATACAAATGAAAATGCTGCAGTTGCCACCTTCTGATGCTATCCATTTGAACCACTGGTTTTGGTCTTAATTAACTTGGAAACAAATGTATTCTGAGGAGCTTTGCAGTTTATGCCTCCTGCTATATCCTGTCCTATTCTGTGCAGACTTTTTCTCAATTTCATTTCCTATGCTCATGCTTTTGTGGGAGGATGTTTTACAGTTAATTGTCCTGTTAATTTTTACAGTTCTCAACTACTTTACAGTGCATGAGGGGAGAGTGTTATATAGTCCTTATGTACCAGCATCAAATATTTATAACAACTTAACAGCCGCCAAAGATGCTTGCTCCCATATACAGAACTGCACTGGAGTAGTGGTTGTGGGAGAGCACAACATTGTACAAAGTGGAACAGAACTCTATAACAGCAGGAACAGAACTGTGAAAACCCTTATCAAATCGGGTATGTGGAACATGTGAGAGTTTTTCAAACTCACTGTCCTCAGTGAATGAAAATTTAGTGGCTATGAAAATGGTGGGTTTGTATTTTCGAGTCTCACTTAATATGCAAAAGAGTAAATCGTAAAACAGCTACAAAGTTTTAGGGAGAACAGCTAGTTAAGAACCACATCTAACAGAGAAATTGAAGGTTTACTTCCTTTTACAGAAATAAAAGATGAAACCAGGTTCTGCTTCTGTAGATGAATGTTATATATCACTACTGTGCAAAAGCATAAGATAAAATGAACCAGCACAAAACATGGTAGAAAGACCGTGTTCTTGTGGCAATGCAGGGCATAAGGTTTTGAACATATCTACTGCTTTAAAAGCCAGACAGATCCAATATTGAGGAATATTTTCCTTCCTCACCTACCCTGGTGCTGAACCTGCCAACCAATATCAGAGTCTAGAAACACTTCTGTGAGTATTTCAGTCTTAGTTATATCTACATTTTCTAACGCTAACAATCTGAAGCCTTGTTGTTGTTTTGGAGGCCTTAAATCTGAAGCCTTGTTTTTGTTTTGGAAGCCTTAAATCAAGGTCTCTGTACACTGTGAATCCATTGCATTTAAAGGCAGGTATATGTTGAAAAGCGCCTTAAGTGCCATGTGAAGTAATATTTCATGCTAATTCATTAGAGAGGAGAACATTTTACCACTTAGCTTCCATTTTGCTCCTGCTGGTTTGCATTACAAATCGTAATCACTCGCTCAGGTCCCAGTAGGCACGCTCTTAATTTCTGTTAACATTAATGAGTGCTATGTGAATGTGCAGAGCACTGAGCCCCAAATGCTTCACCTTTTAATTACAGTTGAGGAAAACAATACCATATGACCAGAAATAAAGATCACTGAATGCCTGCTTTAATCCTTTCAGCTCTTCAGCTTTTCATCTCTGCTCGTATGTGGTTAGCATTTTTTTTTCCCCACAGATTGTGTCTCTGGAAGGTTTGGGCCTCTCTGTGAGCATGAGTGCCGACCCTGCCAGCAGGGAGTTTCTTGCAATCCCCACACAGGAAAGTGTGGGGATACAGTGTTTTGCACTACAGAGAGTAGCAGTATCCCCTGTGAAAAAGGTGAGCTTATTCGACATCCTTAGGGAGGGGGAGGTGGGAAGTTTAGCTCTAGGCAGGACTTGCTTCTGCCCTATCTCTTTTCTTTATTCACATATTGTTGCTGTTTGTAGTGCCATTAGACACAAAGGACTTATGGAGGAGGGGGAGGAGGAATTGCCATGAAAACCATTGCAGTGACACCAATAAACTGGTATGAAAGGAAAAAAATCTATATGACATGAATGCCTAGACCTGCCCCCATTGCAACCTAAAGTGGATTCAGTTTAGACCTGTGGAACTCTGTGGTGAAACCCAAAAAACAAATTTCAGTTCTACGCACCCTCAGTGGACTTGGAATAAAGAAATGCCCCTTACTAAGGCAGCAATTAGAAACCTTTTCGTCTATACAGATATTCTAGAGAAGGAATTTGAACCAAGAGTTCTCCATAATTGGAGGTGGCTTGAAATCTAAACGCCTATCCAAATCTTGGAGGTGATCCCATTGTTATAACTACAAAACCATGTATCTGACACTCAGTAGGTAGTGTGGGAGTATACGGCAAAATCCAAATGTAGTGGTTTGAACACAAGTCTGGGGCTAGAATTTTTAAAAAATTTTAAAAGCTCGGATTTATCTTTATTCTGAACATATTATACAAGAATGGTCTTAAATGGTTTAGCTTATAGAAATTGTTTCAGCAATGGGGCTCAATCAGGGATGAACTGGTGAATGTATGCTCTGATTTTAGGTTCTTTGTTTGGCGGGTCATGTCCTGTTGAAGATGAATGGCAGTACTGGCAAGGAAGCTGTTACTATATTCCCAGAGCAAAGAGGCAAAGCTGGCAGCATGCAAGAGACCTATGCAGGCGTTACAGGGACACAGATCTTCTGTGGCTAGCACATCCGGAGGAGAAGGTACAGTAGGATTCACAAGGAGCATTCACTGACAGTGTGTGTGTTTAGTTTTGCAAATCTCAGTTCTTTATGGAACTATATTTACAGTGTGAGGAAGGAGTATGTATCCCTCCATGTGCAGATTTCAAGAAGTTCTGATTTCCTTATGCAATTCTTTGCCTAAAGGATACCCTCTGCAGGGTATTCTGTCTCGATACCCTGCAGAATCTCTGGTCTCAGAAACCAGGATAATCGTTTTGTATAAAATAACTGTAATTGAAAAATCCAAGGGGAGTAGAGGTTAAATTTAATTAAATCTAGTTTTTGTATGTTTGTTGTTCTCTAACCCCCATCTTATGGCATCTGAACATTTTGGCTGCTTGCAGACATCAAAAAAAAAAAGGAGTGAGGGGGGTACTTTAAACTCGCTGCACTCCCACACCAAACCCAGCATATGCCCAGAAGAGGCAGTATGTTAGTTGTGGACCCAGCTCACCCAATATCTGTATAGGTAAGGCGTTTTATTGGGGTTTTTTTGGCACTTTTATTTAATATCTGATTGATTCAGCTTTAGATAAAAGTGCCAAAAAGCCCCGCTGAAGCACCCAATCTAGAGACACTGTAGAGCCGGATCAAAGTAACGTGCTGCTTCTTTTGGTAAAATGTGTTTTCTTTTGGTAAAGTGCTCTGACTGTTGCTAACCTTGCAAATGTGAGTGAGATTTACTTTACACTACTCATGCAATTAGTTTATATTTGGAGTTGTCTCTGTTAAAACAGGCTAGCGAATTTAACTTCTACTTAGTCACTGTATAATCAGTTTCATACTTTGTTTCTTTTGCACTGGCAATATACCATATTTCCGCATGGCAAACACTGCAAGAAATTGTTTTAAATATATTTAAAATTATTTCCAAACACATTAAAAGCATATTTTACAAGATAGGTATTTTATGACAAATGTGAGTTGATAGTGTCCCTTTGCAATTCTGGAATTTTGCTAGAAAAGAGACACTTGTCAGTTTTGCTGGTGCAAAAGGTTTTTTCTTCCCAGAGGTCACTGAATTAAAGTTTTCTTACAGACTGTAAACCACTCTGCTGCCAAAGGATTCCTCTCTAAATGTATGGTTGTAAAACATATGCACACAGAAATTAAAGCAGTTATAGATAATCTTCTACTCAATGATTAGTTTCAAGTCCTTACCTCCTGGATTAGGGAAAGTTACGTTAGTTTGAATCAGGCAGAAGGCAGGGTAGAGATGTATTTTATAAACTAACTGAATCAGCGATGCATACGCTTTTATGGGCAAAAGTTTAATTTATTAAGCTCATGAAAGGTCATGCATCGCTGATTCAGTTAGTCCGTAACTATTTGTGCATTTGCAGCATCACATATAGTAGTAGCACAAATTTGTGTCGCTACTTTGTGCTGCAGTACGTGCCCCTGCCTCCAGCAGCATTGTCCTGCTGCTCCATGCGCTGCAAGGGGGCTTGCTGGGGCACAGGGTTCCTCAGTGAGGGGCTAGCTGGCAGGCCCCAGCCAGCCAGGGAGTGGCATGTGGAGGCTGCTTGCTCCTCTGTCCCCACATGTTGCTGAGCCCCTGTGCTGAGGCACCCCACACGCTATCCAGCTGTTTCCCTGCTAGCTGGGGCACAGTGTGCCTTGAGATAGGAGAGCAGGCTGCCCTGGGTTGCCTGCTCCCTGGTCTCTGCATGCTTTTGTGTGGGGGCTCCACTGCAGCTGACGGGGGCACAATGTGCCTTGAGATGGGGGTCCACATGCCAGGGTGGGGGCTCTGCAGTGGAGGCCCCACGCTGAAGCGTATGGAGACAGGAGAGCAGGTAGACCAGGGTTCCCTGCTCCCATGTCTCAACATTGGAGCTCCCCCATGGCGGCCTGCTCCCCCATCTCCACGTTTGTTTTGTCACACAACACTTTCACGTGCTTTGTGTCGCTTTTTCCCCCCAGGGGGTTCTTCTGCTCCTGGGAAATCCTGGTAGCAAATTTTGTCCGAGCACTGCTAATTAGCAGCGACATACACGGTTTAATGTGCAACATATGTGGTTTGTGGTACTGCAGAGAGGTTTGCTGTGCCACATACCTCATGTGCCTGCATGTCTGGATCTGGCCAAGGTTCCTGCCAATCTGGGGCATGCACTGCATGCAGCATCCACACTGGACCAGCCCTGTGCTGTGGATCCAGGGCCAGTCTGGGTTGGGCCTAACGAATGGCATTGTATGACATGTGCAGTGTATACCCTGGTCTGTCATGGGTGCATATGTAGCATGCACCCCAGACTGGCTGCGCGTGCCATGTGCAGCATGTGCAGCTGGGGCTAATGCATGCTGCATGTGGTGTGCAGTGTCAGTTCTGGGTGTGCCCTGTTTGTAAGGCCTGTGTTGGATTGGCTGTGCACAGTTGCTCTAGTATATGGGGCCAATCTGTGGACCTGATTTGGACCAGCCTCGCACCCCCTAACTGGTCCACAGGGCCAGATGAATTCAGTACCTCTGATGTAGTGCATCAAACAGTCACATCCTAACATGGCAAAGGAGCCTGTCACTCAGCTATCCAGTACAGTACTCTGTGAATTATGTTATTACTCTGAATGGCTGTGGGTGGAGAAGAGGAATCATCTTGCACTGTACTGTTTTCAGTGTCTGTTACAGCCATAGTATCTTTCCAGGAGAAAAGTTCCTGTTGTACAGCATTTTGTCTCACTTTGGTTGTTCCTAGGAATGGCTGTTCTCTAAAGTTCCCAAAGCATCCTTCTGGACAGGCCTTTATGGGGTTAGGTGGTGTTCAGTTTTGAAGTGGTCAAACAGTCAAATCCCTTTTGCACGCTCAGCATGGTAAGTGAAATAAATATATGTAAGGAAAGTAAAGTTGAATACTACTGGCATTGCTTAAATTGCATCCAGTAGGTCAGGGTCTCCGTTTGATTTCTCTTGTATAGCCATCCTCCCTTTTAACATGGAGTTCTGGCCTAAAGAGAGAATACAGGCTCAAATA